CAGTCCAAATTTCGGAGTAAATTATATTTTCCAGATAATCCATCTCCGCCCAAAACGGTAAGTACGATATTAAATTATTATTGAAGTAAATCAAGTAAACATCACTGACAAATTTGTGAAGATATTTTTAATAACTGTTAATTCGTTCAAGCACAAATAATCAGCAGTCGGAGGCTTTGAAATCAGTTCGTCAAAAATTCCAGTCAGTGGAATCTGAGGCATCGAAGAGCTCAGAGTTATTAAAAGGGAAGCTGGAGGGATACTACTGAAATGTCGCTGAGTCGGCTAACGACAGATACCCCAGCGTTGCGTGTGGTGCCCTCCCTCTTATGGGGTCGGCTACTACGATGCCTCTGGGGTCACTCAAACCCCAAGACCTGAGCCTCTACTTCAGTCAATCCTCTTTGATCATCCTTATCCGTTGCACTTCTCCCCTCAACCATTATAATCCTGAAAGAAATATTATTCAGTTGATTCTCCGTGGTCGTCGTCATTTCACCCCTGACATTATTCCAACTCCTCCAGACAATTCTGTCATCAATAACAATTCATCAGTTAAAAAAAATAGCCGCCGAGAGAAGAAAAAGATCCCACGTCAGTGCGGATATGTAAACCACTATAAACTAATATAAACGGATATAAATCCTCGAGTTATGTGTGAGAATGAACTCAGAGGAAAAGTAGACTCTCTCCTTATTCTCCATTGGCCATAATTCCGGAGGAAAAAAAAAGGGAAAAAGTCTATCACATAGTAGATCTGCCGAAAACAAATATAGGTGAATGAACGAGGGAAAAACATCGGGTATTGGTGGAAAAAGTGTAGTGACCCTCGATTATGTCGCACGTTTATGTGATCGGTCATGAGAAGGCTTGCGCAACTCACTGATGCATCACTGGTGTTGGCATTAGCCATGTAATAACCTTACATAGTGATAAAACTCATTGGCCCACTGCATATGTTCATTTTATGTTTTCTTATTTTCGGTGTGACAAGTGGAACTTGTATTTTATCGTGATTGTGTCCTGTGAAGGGCGATAAACGAGTCTATTTACCTGGATGATGTGAAGGCGTTGCCCCACATCGGCGTCGTCGCCGTCGTGGGTTTATCTTTTTGTTTTTTATTTTTATTAATTTTATTCTTCATGATGACAAATTTCGCCCTTATGAGCATTTGATTTGATGCCAGCGCCTAATCAACCTGATTATCTCGTTTAACGACAAGTACGTGGAATTGATTAAGACATTTATCGGGTGGGATAATTCATTGATTGTGGAAATTGACTGACAATTTATTTGATGAATTTTCAGATCGTGGAGGCGTTGAATATCTTCCTAAATTATCATTTGATTTGTGCATACGAGTTATTGAGTTTGAGGGTGAAGGAGCGGCTGGGGCACGTAAACAATGGCTCAGTTAAATATTAGCACCGGAAAAAGGGGCAGAGGAGTTGTTGCCAGTACTTCAGCAACAGCTGTATCAGCATCAAGTAGCTCCACAGATTTGGCTAGTTTGTTCGAGTGTCCTGTTTGCTTCGAATACGTCTTACCACCGATTCTGCAATGTCAGAGTGGACACTTGGTCTGCAGCAATTGTCGACCGAAGTTGAGCTGTTGTCCAACGTGTCGTGGTCCATTAGGTAATATTAGGAATCTTGCGATGGAGAAGGTAGCGAGTAACGTTATGTTCCCCTGCAAATACTCAACGTGTGGTTGCACCGTGTCAATGGTGCACATTGAGAAGCCCGACCACGAGGATGCTTGTGAATTCCGTCCATACAGCTGTCCTTGTCCTGGTGCATCCTGCAAATGGCAGGGATCCCTCGAGGAAGTGATGCCCCACCTTGTTATGAGCCACAAAAGCATCACAACACTTCAAGGTGAAGATATCGTATTTTTGGCGACAGACATTAATTTACCGGGTGCTGTTGACTGGGTCATGATGCAGTCATGCTTCGGTCATAATTTTATGCTCGTTCTGGAGAAACAGGAGAAGTACGATGGGCACCAGCAATTTTTTGCTATTGCCCAGTTGATTGGATCACGTAAACAGGCGGAAAATTTTTCATACAGACTAGAGTTAAATGGTAATCGTCGTAAACTCACCTGGGAGGCAATGCCACGTTCAATACACGAGGGTGTTTGTTGTGCTATCTTAGCATCGGATTGTCTTGTTTTCGATACGTCTATCGCACGACGTTTCGCCGACAATGGGAATCTCGCGATAAATGTCACAATATCGATGGTTTAACTAAAAAATTTAAAATTAAACGAGAGATAATGATTAATCTTAATTCATTAATTTTGCACTAGATGGATGAACTAAGGATTTACGTATTCCAGAGGAATATCATGGGATGAATAGTTATTATTTTATTCGGTTTATTTCTGATTCAATTATTGCGTAAATCATTAATGAAAGTTTAGACTGAAAACGAAAAATTGAAAAATTATGTACATTGTGGTAACCATAGCGAATTAGCTTTGTAGAATATTACTATTTGATCTAAGGTTTACGAGGAATAATTATGCAAAATTAAGTAATGCTGTGAATAATATTATAATATTCGGTGCATTATCTCTGTACCATTTTCCTCCCAATGAAACAACTCAGAAAAATTCAACAAATCAATAGTTGTCCCGCGTTATATTTTTTTTTGTATGATTTATTTGAATACATCCTTTTCCTGCATATTCAACGCATATGAATTATAAATCGTCTAATGTTTCAAATAATTATTGACTGCCTCGAGGTGATATCGATCTTTGTAAAATTCAATTTTCTGTATTCTCATTCCAAATTGCACTCGATGATGAAGAATTTCTAGACCGTAGAACGATTTAATGATAAAAATAAAAAGAAAAACGCTTCAATTCATGTTCTCGACTAATTTTTTCTGAATGAAAAATTTAATTTGTAATGATGTAATGGTTAATAGTCAAAAAAGTGATATTCGTTTGGCAATTGAGATTGTAGAAATTCATTTGCATACGAACTTATAAATATTTTTGATTAATCGGGCCTTTTTTGTAAATACTATTGCTGAAAGCATTATAATGGGGATGAATTTTTTTCATCGATGATCATCACTTTTTCGATATCCATGGGAAGTGGTGAAATGTAATGATTTATCTGTAAAAGTTTCTCATTTTGCATTTATACGCGAGAGAATCGTCGCCAAGCCCATTGAGTTTCAAATAAAATATTTCACTGTCGAGATCGTTCTTTATTTGTAAATACGATTAATCGTAACGCGGAAAAGAATTTCTTCCCCGATGATTACCATTTATTCAAAATTATTGGACGTCACTATTAAAAAAATGTGCGTACCCTATTACATTTCACCACTTCTTCGAAATTTCATTCATTCAAACAAGAAAAAAGGAATGAAAACATTTTGTACATAGCTTCCTATTCAGACAAAACCAAGAAATGTATGCAATTACAATTACTACAAATAAAAAATAAAACAATAAAAAATTATTGGGACATTGTCTTCATTTTCTGACGAGGAGTGATTTAAAGGATTATTAATTAATTCATTATCAATTCACATTATTCATTTATTAACGTATAAGAATGTTCTTTTGCACAAAAAAATATCAGCAAATATATCTCCATCAATAAATCACAAAGCTGAATCATGTTGTGTACTCGGTGAAGTCGTCCATCTGAACTCTTTTATTCGGCCTGGACGAGGACTCATCATTCGGACCATCCGGATTACTGTTCGCTGTGTCCTGAATACGTTTTCTCAGTCGTTTTATGTGACGCAAACGTTCTAGCCAGTTGGATGCGTATGGATTGTGGCCGTTTTGTTTCAAGGATGAAGAGACCATCGAAGCAAGCTGAACAAATGCAATTGCAAAATCATTGACCACGAGAAAATACAACCGCGTTCTCTATTTTATTTATTCAATTCTAATAGATGATGAAAAGAGAAGAGAAGATAATTGAGTCATTCCAATCATCCAATTAATTAATTAAGAAATTTCACTTACATTGGCATGCAACGCCAGCTGCCTGGAGAGGATGGCGAGATTCTGATCAGAGATGATTTTCGGTTCACTATGACCAATATGTTCAGCGAGTTCCTCTCTAGCTTGCACAGTCACCTGATTGGTCCCATGATCCAGAGGCTGTATCACGACACATGCATAATTGAACTGTCCCTTGACCGTCTGTATATTATACTGTTCCCCACTCTCATTATAAACCACAGAAACATAATTATTCCCAATATGTTGTTTCTTAGAAGTGCACTTGGGATCACTGGATTTAGTGGGCATGAGTGTCGCCACGTGAAAAGCAACTTGGGTGACGTCGTCCTGCCAGATGTAGGCAAAATTGCCATTCTCGCCATTTCTGTCGAGACCACCGAGGAAAACGTTCTCATCAGCATCCCTGAGTCTGATGAGGGTCCCCAGCCTCTGGAGGAATTCAGTGTACCTTAATGAGCCGTGCTGATTCGCCAGAATTTCTACTTCGTTCGAGGTCTGACCAGGACCCACGTAGAGAACGCCTATTTTGTGAGTCTCGTAGGGCTGAATTCTGTCGAGATTCGTCACTGCTCTCTGGACAGCAGTCGTCTGAGGGACAAGCAGAGGCTTTTCATTGCTGGCACCGAAGTATGCGGTGTGATAAAGCTGGAGAAAAACAAAACTGGGATTTATTCCAGTTCTTGGCGCCTCTTTGACTCTCGCCGGTGGATTTGTACCTCTTCTTATGCTCTCCCACTCCCTTGACTGCTTTACAGGTGACATCACAGAAATAGTGTGGCCTCGATCACGAAAGGCGAAGGGTGGCAGTGAGGATGGGTCTGGTCTATCGTCCTTTTTATCGAAAATCCTTCCGATTGGGGGCTTCGTGTCGATGCTCTGGGCTATTTGTTTCAGACTAGAATCCGAGGTAGAGGACGACCTAGAGTATAATTGGGTTGGGGACTGAGGGGGCTTTGACTGGACGTGGTGTTGTCCGAGGACCTGAGATTGCCTCGTTTGGACGAAGAGATGACTGGCGGCCTGACTCTGAGTTAATGCTGTTGGTGACGCTGGAACTGTGTTGCTTGTACTGCTCGAAGTACTGCTACTGCTGGACGTTTGGTGGAGACCATGGGTGGCACCTGGATATGAATGCTGCGACCTCAGCACATTCATCTGATCTGGAGCATGTTCAACTGCAGGTGGAGTCGTTCCCATCCCAGCGATCTCCTCAGGAATAGCCTCGCAACTCACTCTCATATCCTTGGCATAAGCGTTTTTAGCATGTTTTTTCAGCTCAGCATCAAGCTTCACGTCGAACTCCGGATTGATCTGAGGATCATTCTGCAGAACCAGTTTTTCCTTATTCAAAAATGGATTCTTCCAACTGGCGCTCATTTCCGGACTGGAGTTGGATCTCCTGACAGGATTCCTAGATCTCCTCGAGTCGTCATCGCCATCCTCTAGGCTCTCAGTGCTGTCCCTGGAGCTCTGCCGCGAAGGACTAGGTCTCCCTGGGGACCCAGGAATGGCAATTGGCCCGGACTCGGATCTCGATGACTTGGGATTCACCAGAGTCAGAGGTAGAGGCTCGAGCACTGGTGGTTTCATATTCCCATCAGATCTGTCCTCGACCTCATAATCCAGGGAATCTGTGGTTGTCGTTGACTCCTGACTCCTGTTATTCGTGGTAACCTCGGGCGTTGGCATGTACAAAGCAGTGATATCCTGGAGAGGGAAGTCCGGGGGTACATCGAATTGCATGGAGTTTTGAATCCTCATGATCCAGGACATGTCACCAGTGGGTCTTCGAACGTAGATCTCAGCCCAGCCTTGACACCAGCAAGCGCACGGAGAATGCTCCTCTACTTTTTGATCACTGAGAATCTGCTCGAGTTTATTAGGCTCTGACTGCTGCGACTGCTGTGAAGACGTACCATCCCCTTTATCCCCAGACAACTCTCTGGATTTATCCTGTCTTCCATCCCCATCCTCACACTCAAGTTTTTTATTTTCCTCAGTGGGAGAATTAGCTGCAGTATTCGATGAGGATTGCCTCGACAGCCTGCTGCCTTCCTCCTTCGATCCCTCTGTGCTAGAGGTCCTCCTCTGAATCCCACCAGATCCCGCAGTTCCACTTCTACTCAGATAATCAGGGGTGGAAGCTGATTTACACGCGACCCAGCAGTTATCACAGAGTCCACCCCTCATGGCTTTATTGCTGCACCCACTCGTTGTAATAGTGATCAATCGAGTGCCAAGGAGCCAAGTCATGGAATGTCCCTCCTTCAGGAGGAAATCAGCAGCTGGCAGTCGTTTGGGTCTGGCTGTGTACGTGGAGAAGGTGTACCGGGCCATGAGGTCTACACAAGTCTCAGTCAGCTCATTGTGGAAGGTTTTGAGGGACTCATTAATCTCTGGTTTCAAATCCCCTCCCAGCATTCTATTGGATAACATGGGTCTCTCCCTGCGTCCTCTGCTCCCTTGTTCAGTCAGACTCGAGCTTCTCTTCCTGTTTGACGAGTCTTCATTGATCGAACTGAAGTCACTCTTCATCAGCTGTCCCTCCTCGAACGGCACCAGGACATTCGCCTTGAGACCAGTCGTGATGAATTTGACAAAGTCCCTCCTGAAGGGCAGACGACACTTCAAGAACCAAACAGCGATTACGTGATGTGCAAGTGACACGGTGTAATGATTATATTTGAAAGGATTTGTGTAGGGAAGGAGGATTGCGAAGACAGACATGTACTGATCACCAATGAAGCTAGCGAAGACCTTGGGAAGCCTCGTCAACGTCGAGAGGAACTCCAGTATGGGGATGGCAATGTGAACGGTTGCAGATATTTTTGAGAGATTCAGTAAAACTTCAGATAATAATTTATTCATCGCGTCTCGCATCTCCAGGGTGCAGGTGGTGAGACTTGTGACGCATTGACTGGCACATTTTGCTGTGAGACCGACCTCCAGGCACTTGATCAATCGTTGTTGGAGGTTTGGCTCCAGGTGTGCGTGGTAGGAAGCTAGGGAAGCCAGGACAGGGAAAACATGAGCTCGAAAATCAGAGAGTGTGAATTTCTGGGGTACATTGTAGAGGGATTCTGGGAGTCTCAGGGATTTGTCACTGACCATGGAGCAGAGAGCAGCTGCGAGATAATCGATATCGTTACTGTGTCTTGAGAGAATTAACGCCCTGTTCTGCATCACCTGGGGCATCTCCTTCAGGATCAACTGAAGGACTTTCCAGTCTTTCTCCTGTTTTATACAGGAGATCACAGCCTTGCAGGCATGGGCTAGAGACAGATGAGTAACTTGACAGGAGATGTGTTGGAGAGGTGCTGGGCTCAGTGGTGGTGGAGGACTGTTCCCTCCGCCACCGGAGGACAGACGATCAGGGGGCGAGGGTGCATGCTCCAGGACTAAATAAGCACTGAAAGACGTGACAATCCCTGTGGTACAGTCAGGAAATCCCAGATGATAGAGAGAATTCGCTCGAATCTTCAAGAAACACTCGAATACTAGATATCTGATTGCCGATATCTCGTGGAATATGTGGGGATCTTTGTAGTGCTGCTCTAGGTGGCTGACTAGGATCCTGTAGGCACGAATAGCATGACTCGATGGTAGATTATAGATTTTTATGACTAGGACCTTTATCACTCCAACGACAGCTGTCTTTATATCTTTTATGTCGGCATCCGCTGAGATTGGAGTGTCTGCGGCGAACGGTTTGTTTATGATTTTCTCGAGAATATCCAGGAGCTCCAGGCACCTTTTGGTCTCGCACTCGTGACAGAGATCGACGAGAAGATTGGCAGCCACATTTCGAATTGTTATATCTGGATCTACGTCGACGTGTTGGATATAAGGAACGACAATTCTCTCGATCAACTCGTCCTCGTACCTAGACCTATTTACTTGAATGACCTTAGTCACAACGTCCAACACCTTAACCCTGATGTTAGTTCTTGTCTCTGTCTTGTAGTATCGTTCCATCAGTGTAGCTAACTTCGACTGCCATTTGTAGTACGTGGGACCTATGGACGCAGCCCTGTGATCGATGAGTTTGAGAATGGATATCTCAGGTCGAGCATCAGAGCATCTCTCCACGAGCTCGTAGAATCGCTGGAGGCAGCCATTGTACTGGGATGTGTCCACCAGATTCTCGATGCTGTTTATTGTCTCATGGAGGCTGGAAGAGACTTGTCTTGTAGCTGGTTGATTGCTGGTCTCAGTATGTGCTATTACTTCTTCGATAATATCAAGGACAATTCCCCAGGTCGGCTCCTGGAGCTCAGCACCGAATTTGTTGACCAGACGCTGAATCGAGAGGGTAACCTCGTACATCACGATTGGGTGGTTGCACTTCAGGGCTTGAATGAAGGATGGAAGGACTGAGATGGGGGTGCACTTGAGCTTGTGGATCCTGTGGGTACCCCAGAGGCCCATATTCACGTAGAAAACAGCACCTCGGAGGAGACGAACGTCTCGTTGGAAGTTTGGGTCCTGGAGGAGTCTGCACATGGTGTAAAGGGCTGAGTGGCCCATGTGAGTCCCCAGAAGATTTCTCATTATCTTCCAGCTGATCTGACAGTAACTCTCGACGTTGACTGATCTACATAAGGCTGTTATGAAGGTCTGCAACGAGTCGGATTGGAGATTGATGTTGTAACCGACGATGGTATCCAGGGTCTCTAAGCAACCTGAAACAACCTCTGAACTGTTGCTGTAATAGCAGAGGTGGCAGATGTACTGAACCAGTCCTGACACTATGTCCTCGTCTATGTATGCAGAGTTGTATTTTATGACGTTCACCAGGAGTGAGAGGAATTCTGCACCTCTTTTGCCATCACCACCTGTGACTATTGGCATCCACTCCAGGAGGAATGGACCCATTTTCTCTTCCAAGTGGAGAATGTCTTTGCCGTTGTCCGTGAGCTTTTGGAGGAGCTCTAGTCGTGGGCTTATGTCCTCGATTATGTCGTGGTATTTTACAACGTTGAAAAATTTAACGCGCATCAGGGAGGAGAGCTTTGTGTACTGGCCCTGCACCAAGCAGCAGAGGAAGTTCAGGGCTATTTGACGATGCTCCCGAGGGATGTCCTTGTGGAGGAGATCTTCCACTAGACTCCACAGACGCTCCGGTGCTCTCTGAAGGGTTTTACAAAGGATTTTTATTACTCAATTTGGAGGGAGAATACGATAAGAAAGAAGAGCGTATGAACGGCTGCTCAATAATTTATCCATCAGCACTCTTGAACATCTGTCACCTCGAGTTGTTAATGAAGTTGTCTCAATTATAAGATACTCACGTCCTCCCATTGTTGATTCAACACAGGATCGCAGAGATCTTTAATAGCTCTTGTTCTCTGATGCACAGGGCTCTCTGAGCTTATGACTTTCTCGATGTCCTGGGTCAGCGTGAAATCCTCTCGACTCTTGTAATTCCCTGATAACCAATAGCCCCGAGGTTTCAATCCCTTTTATTGACAGTTGTGAAGGAATCTGTGAGTACTTACCTTTGTTTATTCGAAAGAATTGTTTCAGTTTATCGATGGTCTTGTTGTCTTTATCTTTAGAATTCATTTTTGACACTAGTACATTTTCGCGATTTTTTCAAAGTCTACGGAAGATAATTCGACGAGGTAGGATGGATATTTTCGTGTTGAGGCTGGTGGTCACCGTGGAATGATTGACATCTCGGGGTTGTGAAGTAATTATCGTGTGCACCGGAGACTGCCGGAGTTCAGCTGATACTTGGGTATATTTTTTTTTTTTGCGATGGGAAAAACATGAGTGTATAGTATCAGTTATCAACGTACGTCTCCACTGGGGGATTTAATTTTAGTGTTGAAGCGAGTACGAAAGATGTCGTCGACGGTCTCGTTCAGGAATTTTTTTGACTGCGCGGAAGTGTTCAACTCATTCATTCCTAATTATACTGCAAATCTTTTCCCAATAATTATTAGCTCAATTTTATTCATCATGAATTTAATACAGAATTCAAGAGTACTTCGTTATTTATTGCCTAGCCGTACAAACTGGTTACAAGTAAGGTAATAGTTAAAAATGAAAAAGTTTCAAAAATTGATTTAGAGCAATTTTTAAAAAATGTCCATTTTATACCAAGATCTCCCGTCGTGTTACAATTTTTTAAAAATGTTCATTTTACCCCAAGATCTTCCGTCGTGTTACCGCATCAAGAATCTCTCACATGAAGAAGTGTAAAGAGTTTAACGTCCGGAGTAAAAGTAAAGTCGATGATGCAATTCTTTTGGCTGAAATTTGAATATAAAAAATGTCATTATTATTCAAATTTTCCTTCAATCGATTCCATCATGACTTGCAATTATCGTACAATTTATTTATTCCGCATGCTTATCTAATTCACAGGGGTTGTCAAGAGCCCTAAGCTAATGAATCCTCAACCCGCCCAATTTTGTACACCCCAGATTTCAGTCCAGCTTGCCGGGCGGTACTCATCGCAGCTAACATTATAGACTTGGAGTTGGAAAAACGTGAAGTCGATCTGTTCAAACGGGAGCAATATAATGAAAACTTCAAAAAAGTAAAGTGATAACTCGATTGATAAGATCACAGAACACAGAGAGTCCAGCATATTATAATTCGAACGCAATTTTCGCAAGTTTTTTAGGAATCGAGGTAGAGCAATTTTATTTTTTTAACGATCACTCAGATTGTATTCTTAATATTTTTCTGCAATCATCATTGATGTATGTTACAGATTTTGATTCCGATTTCTGTGTATCTCAAGGTTGTGAAATGGCTCAAAAGATGTGAAAATGAATTATCAGGATATGTATAATTAAATGCTTAATTAATGCTTCTGGACATGCGAAAAACTGATGAACAGCCTGTTACAATCTAAAATTTAAATTCTAAATAGTCAAATCATAAGTGATGAAGGCTGTGGAAAGGCCAAAGATAAACCGAGTTGATGACCTTGAGGTCGATAGTCGAGAGTTAAATTCATACCTGGCAACTCGGTGTAGTCATTTACAACTCAGACAATAGGTAGGATTAGGAACTCAAGAAATATTTCTAGAAATATTGAGCGTCCATTGACTACGGTATTTTGAGTAAATTGTATTCATATGTATTTTTGAAAGAACAAAATAATAATCATTTCATAACGATACAAATCTCTTCAATATAAACGGCGATAATACTACAATCTGCTCACACGGGTAAAAATATTAAACCTAGAATCCGGAAGAAATTATTAAAACCAATTTGTTTTTGAGCAACAAAAAATCATGTTTATATTATATGCTACTTATTCGTGAGATTGAAACGCTGGTGTCAATGATGTACTCAGATGATTGCATATCACTTGTATAAACGTGGTATATAATAAAAGAAAATAAACATTGGGTAAAAATTCTTGAACACTCAATTATAAATTATGGACTCAAAAATAGTGCATGGGGAATTATGATGGATATAAAATGTAAATAACTGACTGAGAGCAACAAAATTCGGTGAAACAAAATAAATCGTGCATAGTGTCTTCAGATCTTGATCCACTGGTTAAGACTTGGTGAGAGTGATTTTTTTCATCTGCACTAAACTACTTCCTCTCACTCGCTTCACGTTTCTCATAAATATTTACAAAAGTGTATAAAATGAATATTATTATTGCTGAATTCTCCACTGCAGATTTTGAATTTAAAAAAAAGTGTTCGTGGTCGGTTTTTTTGAGTCTCTGGAGGATTATTTCATGGGACTAACGAGAGTGTTGGAATCGCAGAAGATATTTGTGTTTTCCCAACATTTTTGGATTGACTCGGGTCTGCGATCTGCACTGTTCCTGACAAAATGACTGCACCTTCTCGATGAGAGCAGCTTTTCTCAGTGCCTCCCCTTCCCGACGTCCTCTCTGCAATCTCTTCACCTCCCGCAGTTTATGGGGTAGATAATAATCATAGTCATCCGATAACACATCGTCAAAAGTTTGTTTGACACTAGGAGGTAGGATCAGTACGTCACGATCACAAATTGCTTCCTGCATCATCATCAGGGCTGTTCTTTTTCTCTTGTCTGCTTGCTGCTGGAGTTCAAGTCTCGTTAATTGCGCTCGGATCTCTTCCTTTGCCTTTTCTACTGCCGAATCATTGGACCCGTTGGAAGAAGAATTTGGAGTCGTCCGTTCTTGAGTGGTGGAACCATTGGCGTCGTCAAGGGTCAACTGCAATTGTAATATCACTGATTCTGGCGATGAGCTGCTATTTTCTGGAGATTGCTTCTCAGCCAGGTATCGGTGCACAACTGCTTTTTTCATAATGAAGTCTGCCAAGGTAATTAATTCACAAGACAGAAGAACCACAAGAACAAAGGGACCAAAAAAGAGGAAAAACTTCTACACGGGCTGTTGAAAAAAATAATGGTGGTCACGTGGAGTTAAATTCGAACGAAAAATATTATTTAGAATTTGACGAAGTACTTGCCACAGACGCTTACCCTTCAAGAGGTGATTACGATATGACTGTCACCAAACCTTACTGCTAAATTTTTCCATATTCCACGAGGTGCAATAAAAGGAGATGGGGACGAGGGTGAAGTCCTGTGGCCATCCAGGTAGATTAGCCCTTATGGATAAGCCGGAGAACACATTGATTGTAAAAGAGAGAGACATCTTGTATACCTGCAAATCTGGGAAATGGTAAATAATGGAAAACTGGTAGACACAATAATATTTCTGCGTTCCCCCATTTTCACTAGCTGACGAATTTTAACTTCGAGATCCTCGTTGTGTAAACAGCTCCTGTGGTGAATTTCATGGAAATGAAAGTGTACACAATTGTTTTAGTAAAATAAATATTTTAATGACGTCAATATCCTCCGATCCATTCCTGTATTCTCCTACCGTCAAGGAGTCGATTTTCTCTGAACTATTTCGAACATTGTTGTATGAAATGATTTTTTTGATGAGTAGATCAGCCCACAGAAAATTCAGAAAAATCCGACAACTGAGGACTTCGCTCAGTGGATCCTTGACGGTATTACATTTCTGAGATTAATTTCCAATTTTTCCTATATTGTGTCTATAATGAGATTACGTCTTCTACATTGATTAATCCCAGGAAATCGAGGGAATTCTTATATCAAATGTAAAATTATATACAAATGTTATGTCCATTTAATGAGTATAATCTGTTCACGCAGTATTGATCAACGAAGATTAAATTCTATGTAATAACTCAATTAATCTTCATTATTTACAATCCGTTCAATTTTGAACAGCTCATCTCTCAGATGAAATTGGAATAAAAAAAAAAATCTAGTTGTAAAACCCGATGTAATTGAACTGTCATCAAAAACTTATGGATAAAGGAAAAGTAAACAAAAAGTTTAGGATAAAAAATAAAAAATTATTGAAACGTCAGGATTCTCGACTGAGTATGATCTTCAAGTCTTCCGGCAGTGTTAATGTAATATCATCTATCCTCTCACACAATTTTTCACGCACACTCTGAGTAATTGGCACATCCTCGTGATAACTCCTTTCTAATTTTTGACGAATACGTAGAATCATGTCGACTACTTCTACTTCTTCTTTATCCTGAACCCAATTCTTGAGATCCTGAAATTTTCAAGGGAAATAATTTTTTACAAAAATTTTAGAACTAGGAAAATTGAGTGGATTTCAGATTATCGGGAGATGATTATCGATTTATTACTTTGGCGTGAATAAAAAATTCTTTAAATTTGCTATGATGTCAATATTGAAATTTTTACCGCTTGAGAGAGTGCTTCCAGTTGCAGAGCTTGTAATTTCAGGGTTAATTCAGTGTAACGTGAGAGAAACCATCCAGAGAAATTTGGAGTCCTGAAGAATCGCTTGTAGAGTCCCACCCAGTCACCTTTGATTCCTATAGTTAATTGAGGACCCGCAGAGGGCAAAGTGGCTAAAAAATCTTCTGGGTTGAACATGTGAGGTATTGGCGTTGCCTGAAATAACCAAATTATCGAATTCCCTAAACAATCTCGAGAAATTGAATTTGAACGATAGCAAAAAGTCTTAAAAAAAAAATATATTTATGATCCATGGAATATAAATTTAAAAAATTATTCTGTTAAATATTTTGTTCAAATTACGGATAAAAAATGTGTTGTCATGTTATTACATAAATACCTTAAACGGCGATATGTTCTTCTGTAACGGCATTAAACTCGCAATATATCTTTCCAGAGGAATCATAAAGCTCTCCGTCAAATCCATGAGATGTCTTTTCAAAAGTGCAGTCTGCACTTCCCTGGGTCTCTTAGTCTGCGTTCCCCTCAACAACTTCTTCAAAATGACTTTATCCTTCTGTAAAAATGTCTTGTACTGCGTGTAAACACCTGGCTTTGAATCAAGTATTTTCAAGCTCTCAGACTTTTTAATTCGATATTTCTGATTATCAGAGTTTGATACGTCGCTTATACGTATAATATGTGGCCACCTTTGCAATGTTTTTGCAAAAAATGGATTGGTAACACCAAGAATTACAGCTGGAGGTGTTGGCGCGTCCATTGTGTACTCTTTAAACTCAGAATCATGGATTGTGAAGTATGGACGATAGTCTGCACAGTATTTCAGAGGTGCTATCGTTGCAACTAGAGCTTGAACCATTTCAGCACAAGTTGTTGGAGAGCCTGCCATAACTACTATTGGCTCACCGAGAAGCACCAACTCCCAGAGGAGGTGAACGTGAGTCACTACATTGGATAGACTTTGGAACATGTCACTTTCGTAGGCTGATGCTACTATCAGCCTACGAAGGGAATTTATGCATTTCGAAGTTTTAACTGCTTCCATTGCACTCACGGAAGGCACTACAGCCTTGTAATTAGTGTTTGGAATATATGTCTGAAATAAAATGTGCATTTGCATTTAATGCATTTATCTTGTTTTATAAATGGTATTGGCTAGAGAACTGGCAGTTTAGATTCAATTAATTGAAGTAATTGCTACCTGGAAGAGTACTCCTAGAAGCGGAAGATGTATCAATTGTCCTGGCAATGGTTGAGGCCAGTTGTCAATTTCACGAATTGCGACATCCATAATTGTGTTACCAGCATCGAAAAATTCGGGAGCCAGTAAAGCGCACAATTCAGTGAATAAATTGACGAATGGTAATTTTGATATAAGAACAACACTCTGTGAATAACGAGAGTCAGTAAGAAGATTCCTTCACAACGATGAAAATTATTTTTAAAAAAAACGACTATTTCAAAATTACCTTCTGGAAATACCCCCTGGGTAGAGTTTTATCTTTAACTTGCCTGAAGTATACATATCCCCAGTAGAAATCCTTATCGAACTGCAGGAAACTAGGAGATTTTCTGTTGTACTCTTTGAGAGCTGGTGGTTCACGTGTTGGAAAATTTGAGTTTTGTCGAATCCTCACGTGATACTGGGTATCACCCATGCACCCCGAATTTGAGTCTGGGAATGCCAGATAACACACATTTGATCTCTCTGATTCTGAGAGTTTCACGTGAGTCGGGTAAATAGCCTGAAATTTCGAATTTTACATTCGATTAATATTATTAAATCGATTTTACATAATCCAAAAAAATTCCACAAAGACGTAAAAAGCGTAAAGATTCACGTTCTCAGATTCGTGGACTTTGGAAAAAATTCATGGTGAGAGCTAGTAGTTTATGCAATTCCCATAAGAATATTTTTTTCATCCCATCTGATTTTCATGCGTTAAAAATGAAGAAATATGATTCTACCTCGACAGCTTGTCCCAACTCCAAGTCAAAAGTGACAACGCAGATGCAGTGCAACCAGTTTTGAAAATTTTCCCATTTCCTCTTGACCCCAGGATTTTCCTCTGAAGCTCCATTGGACGACTCTTTCTTTGATGAAGAACACGAGGGCTCTGACATTTCGAATAGTATCCCTCGAACTTTTGTTCAGTTCATAATGAAAATGTCAATTCCATCGCCAACCTCTGTCATTTGGCGAGTCATCTGAACATCAGTGTCGTGAATGACATCAATTGCAAATTGGATTATATCAAAAATATAGTTAGCACCACTACAACATTTCAAAGTCTGAGTTTATGGTTTCCCTGGAGCATTTAACTATAAACATGTCAACTACTCAGTGATAATTTTTCGCGTGCAAGCCATCAATGGATGTACAAGTTCATAATTCATTAATTAGGACAAACATTCATTTGAAGAATAACCAGTTTCTCGTTCTTACCTCAGAACCTAGGTAAAATCATCCAGATGGAATCATTAAATCTGCAGTCATCGATTGAGACCATTGAGAATCATGAAGCAAAACGGATTACAGGAGTAAATCGAGTGGTACAGCTGAATCTACTCCAACTCCAAACAGAAACTCACCTTATCCAGATGACTAACATTAATTCAAGATGATACGTCTACAAATCATCTTGCCTCTATTTGCTTTCATTATTCCAATACCATATTGCATTATCCTCTCACTGGCACAACTTCTTCGTGTCAACACTCCGACAACATATATTTCATAAATACTCCCCAAACCAATTGTAGATAATTGCTGTTAATTTCATGCGCAAGCGTGGAAAACAGCTGTTTACATTTGTCGTTGGAGGTTATGCAAACTTAAAACACCCCCCAAAAAAAACTCTTCTCGTGGAATGCAATCACGCCAAAAGTTCCTAGAATAATTGTTTCCTGACAATCTTTACAATTTTCCAAATACTTTTCAACCATTTTAAATTACTCCTAATTAAAATAGGTAACACATAACTTGTCATTTCATCAGGGTGTTAATTTCCGGTCATAATATTAATCATAAAAAAAAATTATAGAAAATAAATTATTATTATTAAATAATAAATTATTATTGACCAATTGCAAATTTTTAGCTATTATTGCCTTGCGAATCATCTAAAAATAATTCATTTACTTAATTCTGTGGTCCACTTCTCGGAGCTCTAGTGCGCAAAACGCCACCATTAGAATAATGTGTATTGAAGTCAGCATAAGTATTTCCTTCGATTTTAAGAGTAGGGGACATGGTTACAAGTGGTAACTACGTGGTGTGGGGGTACCCAGGGAAGTAAAATAAAAACTTACGATGACTGTATTATAACGTCTTGGAGGAATTACAAGTGAATGATAACAGTGGGTGACCGTGAATTAGATAAGAATGATGCACCAATGTGTCAAGACAGGATAATCATGTGCGATTCAGAGTTGAAAACTAGAATTTTTAATAATTATGGCATGCAGACTTGACGAGGATTTTTTATCTCATTTGTCCACTGATTGACAGTTTTTAGTGAGAGTGGGAGGTTTTTTTTAATTACGCGTTTGGGATTCATCTGCTGGAGACATGTTTCGTAGTCGAAGTTGGTTTGGCGGTGGAATCTGGAAACCCAAGAATCCACATTCACTGGAACATCTTAAATATTTATACAATGTTTTGTCCAAGAATCATACGGTGTCGGAAAATAACAGGGGTTTGTTGGTGGAGACGTTGAGGTCTATTGCTGAGATTCTTATTTGGGGAGATCAAAATGACAGCAGTGTTTTCGAGTAAGTTGCCAATTATTATTATTATTCACAACATTTTCAATCACTTTAATAATATGCCTGACCTGATTTAAAGGAGCCCAATTTTTTGGGCAAGTCTGAAATAATTTCATCAGTAATGATCAGTGAATTGAAATTCTTCAACCGTTAATCAGAAATTAAATGAAGATTATATTGATATTTTATTGCTTTTGTTCCAGTTTTTTCCTCGAGAAGAATATGCTCTCCTTTTTCCTTCGGATAATGAAGCAAAAATGTGGAAGCTATGTCTGTGTTCAATTACTACAGACGCTCAACATTCTATTCGAAAATATTCGAAACGAAACATCACTTTGTAAGTTTCAAATGCTATGCAGAAATTTCAATTGATTGACAACTTGAAATCTTTGTTCCAGATTACCTGCTAAGCAACAATCACGTAAATAGTATTATAGTGCACAAATTTGACTTCAGTGATGAGGAAGTTATGGCTTATTACATAAGTTTTCTCAAAACCCTGAGTCTCAAATTGAATGCACATACTATTCACTTCTTCTATAACGAGGTAAACAAGGTACACTCGACGCATTTACTCTACCTACATAGACAATTAGCAGACTAGTCCCTAGGATAATCCAATAAACAACTAACACAAAGAAAAAAATATTCTTATTCATATGTTTATTCTGTTTTGGAAAATTTTTCATCTACCATAATTTTCTGGTTTTTATTTCATACAAAATCGAGTGTCTTACCACTACAACTCAATGAATTATCTTCGACAAAGACCTAAACTTGAGATATTCAATTTTCAGCACACGAACGATTTTCCGCTGTACACCGAGGCGATAAAATTTTTTAATCATTCCGAGGGAATGGTGCGAATAGCAGTGCGAACTTTGACCTTGAACGTTTACCGCGTTGAGGATGCTTCAATGTTGGCCTTCATCAGAGACAGAACAGCAGCCCCGTACTTCAGCAATCTCGTCTGGTTCATAGGAAATCACATAATAGAGCTAGACACATGTGTGCGAAACGACGCAGACCATCAGAGCCAGAATCGTCTCTCAGACCTTGTTGCAGAGCATCTCGATCATCTCCACTACCTAAACGACATCCTCTCCTTGAACATCCCAGACCTGAACAAAGTCCTCTCCGAGCACCTTTTGCACAAGCTCCTGGTCCCGTTGTATGTCTACTCCCTGACAAAATCCATCTCTCCCCCAGGGCAGAGTCCAGGCGAGCGAAAACACGTCAGTGTGGTGGTCTCCTTATTTCTTCTCTCTCAAGTGTTCCTCATCGTTTCTCACGAGCCCCTCGTGAGAACCCTAGCTGCTGTAATTCTCAAATCAGACTCCCACATGGTGGAGGATGGAGCTAGCAGAGTCCTGGAGGAATACCAGCTCTCCTCATTTGACAAATCAATAGTCTTTGCCCCACCGAGTGAAACCCTCGAGAAATCATTAGAAAGCTTATCCGGCCACTCAGATCTTCAAACATTGACGCTGGAGGACATCCCCGAACAATCGAGCCCTCAGCACTCCTCCACATCAGACTCAGAGATCCTCGAGAACCCTTCAACAACACCTGGATCCTCCCAAGAGGAAATCAAGCACCTCAATGTCACCGACGAAGAAAAAGAGCAGAGACTAGCTCTTGAAGTTGATTCCTCCCCAAACCAGAGTAGACAATCCATCGAGGAGAACTCTACCCATCGACCACTTGCCAAACCCTTCCTAGAGACCATCCTCAATTCCCTCAACTGCAGAGAAAATGATTATGCAACTTTATTCTCCCTCTGCTTGCTGTACGCATTAATCAGCAACGAGGGAGTAGACAAAGAGACTCTGGACTTTGCACCGTCAGCTGTGAAAAACCCGAGCAATTGGTACAACTTGGCTTTAATAGAGAAATTAATCCACGTTATCTCAGCCAGTTGTCAGACAAATGCTAAAATAAGACTAGTGACCATCGAGATGAGTATAAAACTACTGATTAAATTAGTCATATCAGATGGGGAGAGTTTACTTTGTGATGCACATCTGGCAGCAATTGAGTCTGCCAAAGAAGAAAGCACTGCTTTGCTCAGGAATTTTTACAAGAGTGAGGATATATTTCTTGATATGTTCGAGGAAGAGTACAGCGAGGTTCAGAAGAAGCCGTTGAATGTCGAGTGGTTGATGATGGATAGTAATATTCTGCTGCCTCCCACTGGCACTCCAATGACTGGCATTGAATTCAGTAAACGCCTGCCCTGTGGGGAGGTTGAGAGAGCGCGAAGAGCCATTCGTGTTTTTTTTTTGGTCAGAGAATTGTCAATGCTTCTAGGAAATGAGCCTGAGACTCAGCTACCCTTGACCAATCCTGCGAATTGTGTGCAAGTGGGAAATGTCTTGGATCTTAATAACAGTGATTTGATAGCCTGCACTGTAGTGTGGAAGGATGGCCAGAAGATTCGGAGATTTCTGGTGATTGATGTCATTCAACTGATCCTCGTGGAGCCTGATACGAGAAGACTGGGGTGGGGGGTAGCCAAGCTGGTGGGATTCCTTCAAGATATCGAGGTGGCTGGGGACAAGGATGATTCCAGGTGTCTTCATCTGACAATTCATAAACCTTTGAGCACTAGTGGGGGGAATAGACTACCACTGCTCTCAGCCAAATTTATTTTTGATGATCATATTAGGTGTATGGCTGCCAAGCAGAGGCTCACCAAGGGGAGGATCAAGGCTAGGCAGAAGAAGATGGGACAGATTGCTAAGCTTTTGGATATTCCAACCAATTTGCCTAATTGCTCAACTCCACCGAATTATCCTCTGTTGGGGATGAGGCAAGAGAGGACTGTCGGGAGAGGACAGAGACTGAAGGAGCAAAGGGGAATGTTTACGGTTAATAAGGTGCCTGGGTTTGCAGCTCAATTGCGAAAGCAGAATGAACCCAGAACTGGAGTGGGCAGGCGGGTTGGGGGGGATGTCAGTCCACCGAGTGGAAGGTCTAATGATAATGGGATTAGACCAAGGGATGGCTCTCCCAAAATGCCCAGACCTAGGAGTGAAGAGATTCCTCTGGAGGACATGAGGCTGAGGAAAAGTTCGTTCACTGGGAATGGATGTTCGGGAATGCAATTAGTTAGCACCATTGAACCAAATACTTCGACTGCCAACGCAGCTGTCAATACTGATGTTGTGTTGACTAAGAAATGCTCTGAAGAGACTTCTTTCACCTCAGGACAGGCTTCGGATTCGTCGGCGAAACCTCGACGGAAGGGACAGGTCGAAACCGTGTGATTGGTTAATGATGTTAAATGTGAATAGGAGTAATTATTGGGATTGAACTTTTTCGGAGCTCGTCCCTATTTTCTATATCACTTTTTTTGAAAAGGAAAAGATCTAATTTATTCATTATTTTCTATGGTGAGTACATCGTTTTCCCTGTGAAATGAATCCAATTTAATTAATCGAGTTGTGACTGAAGTACAAATACCTTGTGGCAAAGTGGTCTGATGATTATTAAATCTGAACGTCGGTTTATTCATCTCCATCTCGTTTCCGCTTGTCATTTTGAAATCTAGGAAAGGACTTCGAAAATGAAAATCTCGTTCTACATCTATACTCGACGAAATCGTTCGATGACATTACCTTTTTATGCTAAAAAAAAATTAAATAATTTTCTCTATCGCTGAATAAAAAATAAATAAAGATAATTCAACTGATTGGTATATGTATATTCTGAATTTCGTTTACATCCTTACAGCACAAATGAAAATTAATCAGAAAGGAGTATGGATGGTACAGAGATAAAGCAATATAAACAACTATATTAACGTGATGAGGACAAAATATATCCGGATAAATCATATTAATCAAATGAAATGAGAGGTTCAGCAGAGTGGTCCTCAGCTTTGGGTACAGTTTCAGTCGTTGTGGATTGTTCGACAGGTTGTTGATAGGGTATTTGTTGAGGCGGCTGACTAGGAATAGACATTTGCTGTGAAATAACAGCTCCAGGGGGTCCAGCTGGGCCAGGGGGATGCTGAGGAATTGTTGGACCAACTTGACTCATGCCCATCGGTCCAGGCGGTCTCATAGCTGCTTGATTTCCTGGAATTTGAGGGATTTGATTGATCGCTTGGGTGTGGCCAACCCCTGGATGTACCCCTGGCATCCCTTGGGCTTGAGGCAAACTCATCTGATGTCCTGGTATCTGCGGCATTGGGGGAACATTGGCCATTTGGGGCATCATTCCTGGTGGTGGCATACCTTCTCTGGACGGAATCACTCCCTCAGAGCCAGGGCCAGAGCCAGGGCCAGATTGCTGCGGTAGTCCTTGAGGCTGATCTGATTGATTACCTGGGATGTTTGACATCATGTGAGGAGGGATATGATTGGAAGGCATTTGGGGCATTCCATAGGGCATCCCTGGCATTCCTGGCATGGGATAATTACCCATTGGTGGTGGACCGTACGTGTAAATCCCTTGACTCGTTGGGGACATGGGGTACGTACTGCCAGGTGTGTAATGCATATGACGAATTGGAGAACCCTGGGATTGTCCCATGTAATTTCCAACTGGCTGGTAATTTCCCATTATGTACTGCTGCTTCTGCTGCTCCTGACGCATCTGCAGTTCCCTCTCTCTTTCTTGAATTTTCTGGAGTGCCAGCTCTCGTTGGTACTGCAGATACTCCTGCTTCTTTTTCCTCATAATGTCGAGCTTCTGAGCCATCTGCAGCTGTTTCATCCTCTCGATTTCCTCGGCCTCTCTCCTCAATCTGTCCTTGTGCTCCTCTCGTAGGGCGTCAAGGGCTGCTCGGGCATCCTTCACCTGTGTCAACTTATCCTGTAGGCCCTCGTAACCGACTCTAGTGTCATCGTGTTCCTGAATGTACTTTAGAAGTCTCGAATGCTTGGTTGGTATATTCATGAAGAGGTCCTGGGATAAACTGTCATTGGAGATTGGCCGACCTCGGGAGGAATTACTCTTCATTCGATTCACGAAAATCTCCACCTGCGAGCGCAGGTCACTAACGAACTCATCCATTTTTATGTCAACTTCGCCGTTCTGTTGCTTGCCGATCACCACTCGTTGGGGCATCGGACTACTGATATTCGGAGCTGAGGGGGATGTCACATCTTGGCGTATTGATGGGAGATCCTCGATCTTTGAGGAACGGTCCTCCCAGTATTGCCGGTTGAGATATTTCACAAGCTCTGAGTCGACTGCTTCGTCTTCTTGGAGTTTCGAGGGACTTGGACCTGGTGATGGAGGTGGAGAGTAAGTCTTAACAGGTGGGGTGTGATTTTTATAGGAATTAGTCATCCTCTTCTTCTCCTTTTCCTTTTCTTCAGCTTCACTCTGACTCAATGCCAATGCTAACTGTAGCTCCTCCTCTTCCTGGAGCTCTGCTGTTGATTTGCGGGGTGGAACCTGCTGTTGCTGGGCTAGAGAGCTACTGAGATATTCGACAGGCAGGTCAGACTCCTTGGAATTAGCTGAACTTGGCCTGTTAACATGCTCGAAACAAGCATCACACACTCTCACTGGTTTTTCAATTCCATATTTCGGTAAAGTTGACGTTTTATTGGAGCATTGTCCACAGAATACTTGTCCACATGCCCGGCAGTGATGCTTCCTCTGCATTACACCGAAAGTAACTCTACACCGATGGCAGACCTCTCCATCAGCCCATTCGGGTGCAGTATCAGCACTGAACATTGCATCACTCTCCTTCAACGGGGGAAATATGTATCCCTCAGCCTTCATAATGCTTATGGTATCCTTAACAGCAGTATACTTGGGACTATTTCTAAATGCAAACGCCCAGGCCTGAATCAACTCAAGGGTCTTCGCCTTGACGTTCTCGTGGGTTGTGGTTTTCACCAACTCTTTCAATTGTTCCATGTACTGCTTCGTGCCGATTTCATCGTGAATGAGGGCTCCACAATTTTTCACACACGATTCGAGGACCAGGAGGCCAAAGAAGGCCACGTGAGGGTTCTGGTTTGTTATTTTCTTCTTTATTTGGGCAAGAGCTGTTTTTGGCCTAGAAAATTACCAATCAATTGATTACATCATCCGAAAAATTAACTGGTAATATAAATGAAATCTAACAAATCTGGTGAATTTCATATTGACAAAAGCAGAGGATACTAGATTTTTTGAAGATAATAATGGTTCCAGCTCATGCATGGTTATGGCTAGAGATAATAATGCCAAAACGTGAAGGCAAGCAAACAACCCGTTTAAGGGGGAAAATAATTGCTTTGTCATTTAACATTACAAATTGTAAAACAAGCAATAGCTGTTTGAAGATCAATTTACTTACTGTATATCACCTGCTCTGATCGTATCACAAATTTGCAATATCGTGGGCCAGTCTGGATCCAAATGCAAATGACTTGTGGCTTTATCTAAAATCAAACCATAAATCAGGCAATGAGTGAAAGCAAATGTCGAGAGATCTTGTCAGTATGACGTTTGATTATTCACCCAGCAATTTGTCGAAAGTCGGTGCACTACGGAACATCTCTGATGAAACTTCTTCTTCCACCAATTTTTCACTTCAATATAGGAATGAAAGGAACAATCAATGAAGCTGATTGTCACGAGAATAGTCCAAATTCATAAGAAATAGATAATCAAACGATTTAAATTCTGAATTGTCAGAACGGTCAGAACTAATTTCGCTGATGGTGTCGACCTGCTGATCAACACATTAATACAGACAAGAGTTTTAGCGTCCGTGAGAAAGACTAGACGATATTTTCGTCATTTCCGTAGGATGTGATGCGCTCTCTGATCGTCAATTGACTCAAGTCCCGCGACCATTTGAACATTTGGAACTCTTTTCACCGTTGAAAATCGTCAAGATTTCCGAGTTATCATCAACAAATTTATTCTTCAATTAATTGTTGTTCACCAAGATGAGGGGATAATTTTTTGCTGTCACGAATTTTTAATTTTTATTTAGATTTCCTGGGATTTCAACTTCCGAAAGAGGACGACATGTCAGTGAGTGAGTGGTTAGTTTTTTTTTATGATATTTGGGAGTTAAAAGGATGTCATTACTCGAAATACCAAAATATTTGATGGAGATTTTGTTTGATTTTATTATTATTGCACCAATCATTTCTCTGAAATTTGTAAAAAAACGTAAAAGATGATAAGATATTGATAATAAATCTTTAATGGTTACCAGTAATTACAAGATAAATTATTATTCTATTTATAGTTTGATGTGATGATGTCAAAATCCTTTAGGTCCTTCTCATGTGTCCCTGGTCTCAGGGGGCAAAAGGTCCTCCAAAAGGGATTCGATATCTCGTACAGCAATTGGAAGTAGTAGTGCATCTCTTCTAGGTCCACATCGAGGCAGTATCGCCTTCAAGACTGGAAAAGGAGGTTTCAAGGTAGCCACCCTCATGCAAAAATTATGTCCATTTTTTCAATTTATTTTCGGATTCTTTACATTATTTGTGATAGGTGCCACGATATCAGAACACTTATCAGCTAGAGTCTGCGAATCCTTTCAAAGGCCCCGCAGTTGATAAGATCCTGGAGAATGTGATGACAACTACTCTGAAGCCTGTTAAAGTGTATGAATCGAAGAAGTGTATCAAGCTTTGTCAAGACATAGCCATGGAAATTCGCCAACAAATTTATAAGAAGGATTTTGTGCGGTAGAGTATTTTACGATTCTATACTTTAGCCATTTGAAAGCGCTAATTTATTTATTTATTCATTTATTACAGTTACAAATACATCATAATGGTATCAATAATCCAGAGAAGTGGTCAAGGGTTGCACACAGAACTTGGTTGTCTCTGGAATGCCGAAAAGGATAATTACTCGACATACGTTTACGAAAGCCAGGAATATCATGCGTTTGCGATTGTCGCCGGCGTGTACTACGACTAATCTCCAATGTCATCTCTCAAAAAAAAGAATGTTTCTTACCAATTTGACTGTTGAAAGATTCTAGTCTTCCCATTTAAAACGATTACATCATCGGTATTCTCACAATCCTAATCAGCCCATCAGGAAAAAAAAACGAAAAGAGATAAAAAAATGACAGATTGACTTTTCAAGGGGAAGACCAACGATTCACGTAGTGACGCCTGCGTATTGGCACTGTATTGCTCAATGCCACTGGTTCATAACACGTATGCGCGATTTGACGAATTGTATTTCTCACAATACATTCACAGTGTCTCTACGGTTTCTCTACTCTTCGCATATTTTTCTAAATGATCTCCAACCCTAGACCATTCACCCCCAAAGTCCTCAACAGTGATAATTCCCCTAAATCCTGTGTCATTATTAATTAACAATTG